TGAAATCCTGGCACCACAGTGGAGTGAAGGGAGAAGGACAAGATGCCATTGAGGGACTTTGCTGTGAATCGTTCCCCAGGGAGAACAGTGGTGAAATCCCACTGGGCTGTTATGATCCAAACTTTTTCAATTGCCCGATTCCAGAGAATTTCCGAGTTATATAGAACAATTCGTAAACCCTCCATGGATTGACCATCTCCATGGATGAGCCATACATTGAGTGGGTGTGACCGGAGTGCAGAGAACAGGCTGCCCAGGAGTGTAGTAATTGTCTTGTTCGAAGCGCGAGTTGTCACCATTGGAATGAATTCGGTCACAGCGACACAGATGTTGTTCTGCAAGAGCCTTGGCCTCAGGGTTCGGAGAAATGTTTCCCCAGTGCCATCACTGGATAGGAGGAGGCCAATCCAGTTCCACCCAAAATATTTGAGCAGCTCAACAATCCCATCATACTGAGGTTCTTCATTTGGAATCATCCGGAGGAAAAAGGGGAACTGGTTTTGGTCACTCAAGACAGGGTCAAAAGAGCCGTAGGAAAGCTAGAGCAAGAGGGAATAACAAAAATGATTTGTGTCATAGAAATATCAAATCATTGGGTCATCATTCATGTGCTGGTGGCCACCTTTGCAGCTGACAGAAAACTATTCCGGGTGGTGACAATCAGGAGGGATTGTGAAGAGCCTCCAGAAGGATCTCTCCAGAATGGGAGAATGAGCAGCAAAATGGCAAATGTGTTGCAATATACTGTAAGAACTTTGTAAACTGTAATGCACACTGGGGAAAATAAAATGAAACTTTAGCTAATGGGTTCAGAGCTGTCTGTGACGTACCATGAAAGAGAGCTTGGTATGCTAGTGGACGGATCAAGAAAAGTGTCCACGCAGTTTGCGGCGGTAGTGAAGAAGGCCAATTACGTGCCAGGTAGTCATGACTGAGATGTAAAAAATTATGGAGGGGATGGATGAAGTGGATAGAGGGAAGCTCTTTTCTCTCACACACAATACTTTATGCTTTATGAGGAGCACCTGTTGTGCGCACCCACATCCCTAGCAGCCCCGCAGTGAAGATCTACGACCTACCATCTCCATATGATTTTAAAACACCCATATCTCCTTGTCTGAAGCTCAGAGAGGGCCAGTGCTATTCTCTATAACGGGTGGACCTAGGCTCTGACAATAAAATCAATAATATCCAAAAATCCAACATATGAAAATATAGATTTTAAAAACACAGCAGGAGGGAAAGCCTGCCTAAAAAGCCATGTCTTTAGTTTACTTCTAAAAAGCTAAACTCTGGAGTTCTAGTGCTCAAGTGAAGGACTTCTTGAGAAATGCTGGATTGTTCAGTGGTTGAGATCTCTGTCTCCGGAGCCAGAGGTTGGGAGGTCTATTCCCCATTGGGCTTCCCGGAAAGAGGCTGGACTTGAGGATCCATCGGGTCCCTTCCAGCTCTGCAGTTCAAAGTTTACTCAAAGCTATAGAGACGGTGGGCCCTTGGCAGCTGATCCCAATCAGTCCCTAGCAAGGCTGGCAGCATCTCTACAGGGGTGTAGATCCCTTTCTGTGTGCAGTCTATAGTCAAAACACACAGGGAGCTGATGATCAGTAACACGAGCAGTTCTCTCTTTCTCTCTCTCCCATTTGCAAATGGGGCAC